CAATGTCAAAAACTTTATCTCATAATAAAAATAGATTATTATCTAATTAAAAACAACTTCAGATTCAGCACTTGAAAGAACCCTATATATATTTAATTTATGTTCAAATATAACACACACAAACTGATTAATTTTCCCAGGGGACCTGCCCTTTATTTCATATGATTTGGTTTTTTTTTGTCCCATACAAGGATATATATATGGTTTAGGAGCGGGGATCTCGACCATTTAAAAGTTCTTAAACAGGAAGAAGGTGGGAATGACCCCAAGGAACTCACCTTTTATTTCATTTCATTTGCTTTATTGTAACATACAAGAATATATATGGTTTCGCAGTGGGGATCTTGACCATTTACAAGTTTTCAAAAAAAAGGAGAGTAGGGGTTACCCCAGGGGACTTCCCCTCAATTTAATTTGCTTTATTTTATTGTCCCATACAAGAATATATATGGTTTAGGGGTGGGGATCTCAACCGTTTACAAGTTTTCAAAAAGAAGGGGATAGTGTTTACCCCCGTGGACTTCCCCTATATTTCATTTGATTTGATATATTGTTCCATACAAGAATATATATGGTTTCTGGGTGGGAATCTTGACCGTTTACAAGTATCAAAAAAAAGGGGGGTAGGGGTTACCCCAATGAACTTCCCCTATATTTCATTTGATTAGTTTGACTGTCCCATACAAGAATATATATGGTTTAGGGGTGGGGATCTCGACCGTTTACAAGTTCTTAAACAGAAAGAAGGTGGGGATGACCCCAGGGGACTTGACTTTTATTTCATTTGATTTGTTTTATTGTAACATACAAGAATATATATGGTTTCAGGGTGGGGATCTGAACTGTTTACAAGTTTTCCAAAAAAAAAAGGGGTGGGGGTTACCCCAAGGGACTTCCCCTAAATTTCAATTGATTTGTTTTATTGTCCCATACAAGAATATATATGGTTTAGGAGTGGGGATCTCAACCGTTTACAAGTTTTCAAAAAGAAGAGGGTGGGGTTTACCACCGTGGACTTCATCTATATTTCATTTGATTTGATATATTGTCCCATACAAGAATATATATGGTTTCTGGGTGGGAATCTTGACCGTTTACAAGCTATCAAAAAGAAGGGGGTGGGGGTTAACCAAATGGACTTCCTCTATATTACATTTGATTTGTTTTATTGTCCCATACAAGAATATATATGGTTTAGGGGTGAGGGATCTTAACAATTTACAAGTTCTTAAACAGGAAAAAGGTGGGGGTGACCCCAAGGGACTCGACTTTTATTTCATTTGATTTGTTTTATTGTAATATACAAGAAGAAAAATGGTTTCAGGGTGGGGATCTTGACTGTTTACAAATTTTTAAAAAAAAGGGGGTGGGGGTTACCCCAGGGGACATCCCCTAAATTTTATTTCATTTGTTTTATTGTCCCAAAAAAGATTATATATGGTTTAGGGGTGGGGATCTCAACCGTTTACAAGTTTTCAAAAAGAAGGGGGTGGGGTTTACCCTCGTGGACTTCCCCTAAATTTTATTTGATTTGTTTTATTGTCAAATACAGGAATAAATATGGTTTAGGGGTGGGGATCTCAACCGTTCACAATTTCTCAAACAGAATGCCTAGGGGTAGGGGGGTTACCACAATGAACTTCCCCTATATTTCATTTGATTTCTTTTATTGTCCCATACAAAAATATATATGGTTTAGGGGTGGGGATCTCGACCGTTTACAAATTCTCAAACAGACACGCTGGGGGTGACCCCAGGGGACTCACCTTTTATTTCATTAGATTTGTAACATACAAGAATATATATGGTTTCAGGGTGGGGAGCTTGCACATTTACAAGTTTTCAAAAAAAAGGAGGGTAGCTGTGAACCAGAGGACTATCCCAATATTTCATTTGATTTGTTTTATTGTCCCATACAAGAATATATATGGTTTAGGAGTAGGGACCTCAACCGTTTACAAGATAAAAGCACATTATCAAATTGAAGGGGGGTAGGGGTAAGAATATATATGATTAACGGACACTTAATTATCTACAAAATGTCTAATAATGAACAGTAAATTCCAAACTTCATTTATACAGTAATACTACTAGTATCAGACAAACATAAAGTAATCTTGCTGGTGTTTATCACAATAAAAAGAGTACAACATTCAAAAAGTTCAAAAAAGAAGGTTTATAACCTCATCTTGCACCATCAACCCAAAAAAAAAGAAGCATGCCAGTCACTATCTCTTGAGCCAAATCAACACACGAAAAAATGCCGTGAATTAATTTGACCCTTAAAAATGGTGTCGCGCACAAAAACCCCCATGGCCATTTTCAAAAGTTGGCAGACTAGTAACTAGTAAGTTTCAAACTGTATAAATACAGTCCTACAGATCAGAAAACAGAAAATTTTCAAATAAATCTGTCACTCCAATGATTATCATATGCTAAAATATTTCCAAGATCTAATTAATAATGAAAATAAATCATTATCATATGCTGAAATATTTATAATATCTAATTGAACAGAACTATGGTTGTTTAACATAGTGCTCTAACATAATTAATAATGTAATAATCTTCAAAATGTCTAATGATATAGCTTATAATCATTACCACTTAGGAAATAGATAATTTTCAAATAAATCTGTCACTCCAATTTTCATTCTGAGATTAGACAAATCATAACATGATAAAAACAGTAAAATATTTTAAAATTCTACTTTTGGATATTAAAAATGGCGATAACTCACAAAGGAGATATACTAAAATCTTGAAAATTAATAGAGACCTTCATTAAGTCCCAGGAAACAACATATTTAAATTTGAAAAAAATTTGTTAAAGCGTTTTCATGTTATTGTGCTGACACTGTTTGGCAGCCGCTCGAAACTGCCCAGCTGCCCGCCGTATATCACCAGTTTAATAACCGATGTTTCCTTCGAAAATCCTATTAAAAAAGGCTCCACCTATTTGCTTGTCACAGGCTCCACATGCTCTGTGTTGATTGTTTATCAATGTCACATTCCAGTTAACTTTGGCAACAAACTCAAAAGTTAATTAGTTTGCGATCAACAATCACTTAATGAAATATCATTTGTCGATAATACATTATAGATTAGTAATAAATATAAAATACATGCATACAAGATTTAGTTTAGAATATATGCATGCATTGGTTCAACAAGTGAAACTGCAAGCTACTGCTCACTGATGATACCCCCAGCCCAAATATGCATTTGTTGTTGAGTGATGAATCTGAAAACCCATCACACGGTATAGCTGACTTATATAAACCCTGAAAGCAAATGCGACGAAAAATATTCATGGGACGGACGGACGGATGGATGGACAGACGGATGGATGAACGGACGGACAGAGGTAAAACAGGTATATATACCCCCCACTTTTTTAAAGCGGGGGTATAATAAATTCGATAACATTAAAATAACAAGAAACTCGTTTCATATGACTTTAAACATTTGACATGGCATAGTTTCTGACACAGAATGAATGTGGTCTAAGAACTTAATAATTGGAAATTGGAAATTTACCTATTAAGGTCCAATATCAGACCTTTTGGACCTCAATGTAGACCAATTTGATAACAGGGCCCCAAATACAAAATCTAAATACACGGTTAGATTCAGCATATCAAAAACCCCATTTATTCAATTTTTTGTTGATATCAAACAAACAAAAAAGTTTTGGACCGTTTGGACCCTGATTTGGACCAACTTGAAAACTGGGCCCAAAATCAAAAATCTGAATACATGTTTAGAATCAGCATATCAAAGAACCCCAAGAATTCCATTTAAAAAAAAAATCAAACAAAAGTTTCATTTTAGACCCTTTGGACCATAATGTGGACCAATTTAAAAACTGGTCCAGAAATCAAAAATCTAAATACACAGTTAGATTGAACATATCAAATAACCCCTGAATTCAATTAATTTTTTTTATTATTCCAACAAAGTTTAATTTTGGACCCTTTGGACCTTAATGTGGACCAATTTGAAAACAAGGCCCCAAAATAAAAATTCCAAATACACGATTAGATTCGACATATCAAATAACCCCAATAATTCAATTTTAGATGAAATCAAACAAAAGTTTAATTTTGGACCCTTTGGTACACAATGTGGACCAATTCAAAAACGGGGCCCAAAATCCAAAATCTAAATACACAGTTAGATTGAGCATATAAGAACCCCAAGAATTCAAGACTTTGAATTAAACTACATTGAAATTGGTCAAGAAATAAGCAATTTATAAAAAGTATTAGAAAAGTAATGTTTTCGGCCCCTTTTTCCTAAATGTTTAGGGCCATAACCCCAAAAATCAATCCCAACCTTCCTTTTTGGGTATGGAACCTTGTGGTACAATTTCATAGAGATCCATAGACTTATACTCAAGTTATTGTCTGGAAACCAGAAAAACCTTGTTTTTGGCCCAATTTCGGCCCCTAATTCCTTAACCGTTTGGGCCATAACCCCCATAAACAATCTCAACCTTCCTTTTGAGGTATGGAACCTTGTGATACAATCTAATAGAGATCCATACACTTATACACAAGTTATTGTCCTGAAACAAGAAAAATGCTTGTTTTTGGCTCCTAATTCTTAAACAGTTAGGACAATAACCCCCAAAATCAATCCCAAACTTCCTTTTGTGGTATGGAACCTTGTGGTACAATTTCATAGAGACCCATACACTTATTCTCAAGTTATTGTCTGGAAACCAAATGTCTTTGTAAGACGACAACGCTGACAACGCCATAACATTATACAATCGCAAAAATTTTGCGGTCGTATAAAAAGTACTGATCTCAAAGTACTGGCAGTTACTGAAAGTTAGTTAAAATCCAATAACAACAATAAATAAATTATTTATCCAAGAAGAGATGCACAGTGTAAAACAAACTGTATGTCCACTATAAAATAAAGGTCAGAAGAATGCAGATTAAGAAGATAAAGCAAATGTATTTTGCTTACATATATATATATATATATACCTCATTTTCACATGCTGAGAAATTAACTATGTCTTCCTGTGAGTCATATTCCAATAACAAAACAGTACAGGAACCAAAGGAATGCAATGTTAGTTCTGACTTCTTTCTCTTTAAAATATTAATTTTTGATTTCTTTTTTAAAGTAATATTTGGCATTGGAACAAGCACAACACACTCATGACATGTTGCTATCTGTGGCAATTCATAGTAAAAATACACTTGACTTGATTGAGGCCTTGAATTTTTCTCTGATATATCGGTCTTTTTGCTCATTTTATTAATCTCACTTTCACAACAGAATTTTTCTACTTGCTTTTTGGATCACACAGGTAATATAAACCAAATTGAGTTCAAAAATCCAGTTTATACTAGAAAACTAAATAACAGATCAAGATATTTTCTTCCTGGTTTTTAATAAGTTAATGTTCCACAACAAAGTGTAAAACACATTTAATATTTTTTACTTCCTTATCTACAATCAAACTGGTTTAGATTTAAAGAGTCATTTTTTTCTAAATATAGATTCTAACTAGATCAGGAAAATAAACATCAGTATTAAAATCAATACTAAAGATCTTAAAAATTATTAAAAGACAAATCTCTTTCTTTTTGCCAGAAAGACTTATTCTGACATGTAAACAAGTTGTCTTGGCAGTAATTATAAATGCTTATACTTCCTTAATGTCTGTTAAACCCTGATTTAAGAATTGAATGTTCCTTTTTGGCAAATAATTAGCACATTTTGAATGAAACACATGAGTGATTCATAATTGGAATTGAATTGTGGGTGTCTTGCATGCTACATATCATGGTTAAATTTGGTATTGAAAGTTTTTAAGATCAAAGTTTTACTACAGATATCACATAAACTTAACATTGTCATGATCCATGAAAAATAAGTTAAGGTCATATGACCCCTGCCAGACAGACATGTACATCTTACAATCATTTAAATAATTCCTTACAAACAAAATAGTTTAATTCTAGCATTTATAGTATCTGAGAAAAGGGTGTTTACCCAAAAATCTTTAATGTTGACCAATGAAACATTACAATTAGGTCAATGTCAGATGAACTACCACCAGTCTTAGATACATGATTTTTTTACTATTTGTTATTTGCTTTGAACTAGCTGTCAGTAACTGCCAGTACTCTCAGATCTGTATTTTGTGTCTTTTTTTTGTTTTTAGGGATGTATATGTTAGCGGCAATAAGTGAAATTAGGCATTAAGCTTAAATCCTAGGCAATAAACTTACGCCTAGGCTTCTGTGGACACAGATGATGTCTCCGCTTGCATATCATATAGTTATAAAGGGACATAACTGAAGAACGGTAAAAGTGACGCTACCCAAATTTGAACTTGATCTGAGTTTTGTGGTAATAAGCATTGTGTGTAAGTCTCATAACATTTGGTTGAGGCTAACTTAAGTAGAGAACAGATACTAAACATTCAGCAATTTTTCTATTTGTAAACACGCATAACTCTAGAATGGTTGTGTATAAGTTTTATAACATTTTGTTGAGACAAACTAAAGTTAGAAAACGGTAACGAAAAATTCAGCAATTTTTATGTTTATAAAGGGACATAACTCAAGAATGGTAAAAGTGTCGCCACCAAATTTCGTACTTAATCTGTATTATGTAGTAATAAGCATTATGTGTAAGTTTCATAACATTTGGTTGAGGCAAACTAAAGTTAGAAAACGGAAACAAAAAATTTGTACTTGATCTTAGTTTTGTGGTAATGAATATTGTGTATAGGTTTCATAATGTTTGGTTGGGGCAAACTTAAGTTAAGAATGGAAACTAAAAATTTTGCAATCTTTCGATTTATAAAGGGGCATAACTCAATAATGGTTAAAGTGACACTACCCAAATTCAACTTGATCTGTGTTTTATCAGTGGAAGTCAAAATTAAACATTGCATTGTATAAAGCATTGATTGTAGTTGATTCAACTATAATCATGGACAAAGGAAGATAACTCCCAATTTTAATGATTACTTGATATTAAGAAAATAAAAATTTAGCAATTTTTCCATTTATAAAGGGGCATAACTCTAGAACAGTTAAAGTGACGCCACCAAAATTCAAACTTGATCTGTGGTTTGTGGTAATAAGCATTGTGTATAAGTTTCATAACATTTGGTTGAGGCAAACTTAAGTTAGAGAACGGAAACTAAAAATTTTGCAATTTTTCCATTTATAAAGGGGCATAACTCTAGAACGGTTAAGGTGACGCCACCAAAATTCAAATTTGATCTGTGTTTTGTGGTAATAAGCATTGTGTATAAGTTTCATAACATTTGGTTGAGGCAAACTTAAGTTAGAGAACGGAAACTAAAAATTTTGCAATTTTTCCATTTATAAAGGGGCATAACTCTAAAACGGTTAAAGTGACGCCACCAAAATTCAAACTTGATCTGTGTTTTGTGGTAATAAGCATTGTGTATAAGTTTCATAACATTTGGTTGAGGCAAACTCAAGTTAGAGAATGGAAACCAATATTGGGACATACGTACGTACAGACGGACAAGGGTGAAACTTAATGCCCCCACCGCTACGGCGGGGGCATAAAAATCCCAAAATTCACTTATTGCCTGACATGATGTCTGGCAATAGGTTGAATAATCATCATCAGATTTCAGGAAATAAGCTTAATGCCTGACAATTTCAGGCAATAACTTAATGCCTAGGCGTTAGCTCATTGTCTAGGATTTAAGCTTAATGACTAATTTTACTTATTGCTGCTACCATATATATAGAAATACCCTGCCACGTCTGGTATGTATTTTTGTTAGATGTTTTTCTGTTTTGTATCGGTCTGATTAGTTAAGCCCTTTTCAACTGATTTTTATAGTTTGTTCCTATGTTGTAGTGTTACACCACTGTACCAGGTTGGGGGAGGGTTGGCGCCTTCAAACATGTTAAACCCCGACACATTCTTATGTGCCTGTCAGGAGCCTGTAGTTCAGTGGTTGTCCTTGGTTTATGTCTGTCATATTTGGTTTTCGTAGATTATTTTGTAATAAATTAGGCCGTTAGTGTTCTCAAATGAATTGTTTTATATTTTTCATGTTGGGGCCTTTAATAGCAGACTATACAGTATGGGTTTTTCTCATTGTTTAAGGCCGTACTATTATCTATAATTGCTTACATCAACTTCATTTGAACCTTGGTGGATGGTTGTCTCATTGGCAATCATACCACATCTCCTTATTTTTATATGTTCACTTGATAAGTTATAATCATTCCATACACCAAATATAGTTGACCTAATGCTTAAAGTATTAAAGAAACAGACCTCATCAAGAAAACTTTACATTAACCAATGAAAATACCATGAAAATTAGGTCAAAGTCAGATGATAACTGCCAGACAGACATTTCAACCTTATAACATTCCATACACCAAATATAGTTGACCTACTGCTTTTAGTATCTGAGAAACTGACCTAATCAAGAAAACTTAATGTTGAACATTGATCAATGAAATGAGGATAATTTCAGGTGAATCATGTCGGACACTCAGAGACTGACAGACACATATAACTTTAATGATTCGATATATTAACGATAACAATTGTCCTATTACTCATAACAAACTTGCTACACCCTAGTGAAATGTCCCCGTGCTGGACGCAGCTTGATACAATCGCAGAGGTCGAACCCTGACCAGTTGGGGCAAGTATGGACACTACATTCAAGCTTGATACAGCTCTGAATTTGGATTGTTATTAAATATTTGACATATCACAGGTTTCTGACCCAGAATGAATGTGGTCAAAGAACTGAAAAATTTGAAATTGGACTTTTACCTATTATGGTCCAATATCCAAAATCTAATACACAGTAAGATTCAGCATATCAAATTAAAGAACCCCAAGAAGTTTAATTTTGGACCCTTGGACTTCAATGTGGACCAATTTAATAACAGGGCCCAAAATCCAAAATCCAAAATCTAAATACAAGGTTAGATTCAGCATATCAAAGAACCCCATTTATACAATTTTTGTTGAAATCAAACAAAGGTAAATTTTGGACCCTGATATGGACAGATTCAGCATATCAAAGTACAACAAGAATTAAATTAGTTTATTTATAAATGGACAATATAAGCTAAGTTTTTCAAGGGGTTCACTTCATCAAAAAAAAAAGTAAATCAAAGCACTGTAAGCGCTGTAGGCAGTTAACCAAAAACCAAGGCAAACGTAATATGAAAACTGTGGCAGTGTTGCTTCAATTTTTTTTTTTAAGATTTGAAAGAACAAACATTAAACATTCGTATATTGTACATTTATGTTTATCTAATGAATTGATTAGTAAGGCAAATTAATTAATATTTCATCAAGGTTTTCAAAAGCAACGCATATATATCAATGTAAATGACCCCCATCTTCACTCCAAGTCCATGATGTCACTCCATACCAAGTTTGGAATAAAATGACAGGTGATTATAAAACAGTTGGTCAAACATTCTTGGGATTTGCACTGCTTGAAAGATTTATATGTTTTCTTTAAAATGAGCCATAAATGAAACTTATTATAGGCCCAGAAATAATTCAAAAAATAATTAGTGTAAATTCAATTAACCTAGACTAATTTTTTGCATCAATAAAATTTTATAATAAACAAGAAATAACAGGATGCCGTCTCCCAAACAAAGCTCCCATAATTCGACTTTCCCATGGTCGCCTGACATTGGGCAAAGTCCAGTACATATTGGTTTGGTCAAGTAAAGTGATATGCAGATGTGACGCCTAGGGGATTGATCCTGTATGTCAGTCAAATCTTTTTGAACTGACAAACAGGAATTAATATGGTTTAGGAGTGGGTATCTCGACCGTTTACAAGTTCTCAAACAGGCGGGGGTGGGGTGACCCCATGGACTACCCCTATATTTCATTTGATTTGTTTTATTGTCCCATACATGGATATATATGGTTTAGGGGTGCGGATCTCGACCATTTCCAAGTTCTCAAACAGTAGGGGATGAGGTGACCCCAGGGACTCCCCATATATTTCATTTGATTTGTTATATTGTCCCATACATGAATATATATGGTTTAGGGTGGGGATTTCGACCGTTTACAACTTCTCAAACAGGAG